GTGTGTGTGTGTGTGTGTGTGTGTGTGTGTGTGTGTGTGTGTGTGTGTGTGTGTGTGTGTGTGTGTGTGTGTGTGTGTGTGTGTGGTGGGTGTGGGTGTGGTGGGTGTGTGTGTGTGGGTGTGTGTGTGTGTGAGCGACTGGCATGTTAGGAGGAGGGGGTCAATGCGTTGCAGTTTTGCCAAAGGCTCGAGCTGGCACGCGCACATACGCGCACATACGCACACACGCACGCAAGAAAGAGCATTGGCGCAAGGAATGAGCCCGCAAACGCCACGCACGCACGCACGCACGCACGCACGCACGCACGCACACACGCACACAACATACACACAACATGCACACAACACATACACACCACACATACACACCACACATACACACAACATACACAACGTACACAGCATACAACAACGTACACAACACATGCACACAACATACACAACAACGTACACACAACATAACACACTCACGCGTCCAATGCCGCAGTCGGTTTCGAGCGCCTGCTTCCAGCGCATGGCAAAGAAGTTGAGGCTGTCCTCATCACGCTGATCAAGCGGTTTGCGGCAGCGGACAGTGGCCTGGTGTGGTTGTGATGTGTTGAGAGGGGTGGGGAATGAGGAATGAGGGAGGGGTGTGTACGGTTGTGAGACACGTCAATGGCACATTGGAGATGTAGACACGCGTGAACAACAAGGCACGTACGCGAAAACCTGAATACATGCAAGCACAGGCACACACACACACGCACATGCACACACACACACACACACACACACGGGCACACCTCCAGGGTCGTGTTGAAGGCCGATTGAGAGCAGGGGGAGACGGCGACGCAACCGCTGGACTCCGTGTCGTTGCAACGGTACACTTTGAGGCAATCTGGGGAGGGAGGATGTCGTGGGGCGAGGCGGAGGAGGTGGTGAGTGGCAAGCAATGCGCGTGAGCGAGTGCGAAGGAGGTAAGGAGGCAGGCAACAGCAGGCACCGGTGGCAACACACACACACACACACACGCACCCACACCTCCATTGGCGCAGGCCTCGAAGTGCCGGCACTGGCACGTGCCACCTGCAAACAGAAGAAGAAGGGGTGAGTTCAGGAGGGGTGAGACACGGTTGGCTAGGCAGGAAGGCGGGCAAAAGGCAGTTTACAGGGCGATGTAGAATGCACACACACACACACACACACATGCACGCACACACACATGCACGCACACTGACCGAGGGTGCAGCGGGACCGAGAGAGGCCTGTTGCGTGACCGCTTTGGAAGTAGTAGCCGATTGGGGACGCAGTCAACGCCGCGCAACCATCAATGCCCTGTGAGGCGGGAGGGGAGTGAAGGTGGGGTGGAGTGAAAGTGGGGTGAGATGGCAGAGGGATGCAGTGTGAGGAGAGTGGGCTAGTGGGAGGGGCAGAGAGGAATTGTAGATGGAGGGAGAGAGGTGGTGGAGAGACGCGAGCACGAGGGGCAAAGAGAAACGCATACGCACGAACCCGCACACAACACAACACACAGCGAAACACACAACACACACGCATACATACACGTATTAACTCTGCCGCATCATCCCCTCATACCGCATCGTTGAGAAACTCCGACAAGGTCAATTCGTCTCCCAGGTCGAGGAGGGCGTGGGCGGTCTCGGTGGTGGCAATCACGGCGGCAGCCACGAAAAGGGCGAGCCGAACAGCCCGCAAGCCAGTAAAGTCCATGGTCCTATGGTCAGCGATAGCGATAAACTTAGTCGCGGCAGAAGGAAGGTGTTGCTGCAGTGCGTCTTGGTGGAGAGGTGTGTGGTTCGAGTTGGAGACGAGAGAAATGAACAGGGCACGCGTGCCTGAACACGTGAGACGTGCAGTGTGTCGGGGAACAGAACAACAAGCGAACAAGACACCAAGCACACAGCTGCTGGCACATGACGGAGTTGACAGTGGCAAGGGAGAAGAGAACAACAACAAGAACACACAGACAAACCTTCTTGTTGTTTCTGTGCATGGCGATGACGCGAGATGCTGCGGTGGCGGAGGGCGGGTGATGTCACCTGTCTGCTTTTCAAGTGGTTGGAGCCTGTCGGTACGGGGAGGGAGGCAGCAGCGGCATGTTTGCATGTCTGCATAATATTTGCCACTTTGAACGTCGCATTTTCAAAAGGGCGGCAACGAATAATTGCGTTTGGATCGGTTGGGTGAACAAGGGTGACATCAGAGTGACGTCACATTTTGACACCACGTGCGTTCAAAAAGGATGGGGATGGGGATGTGACAACGTTAGTGGTACGGCGCTTTCGGAAGGGCACAGAGAGAGAGAGAGAGAGAGAGAGAGAGAGAGAGAGAGAGAGAGAGAGAGAGAGAGAGAGAGAGAGAGAGAGAGAGAGAGAGAGAGAGATATGAGGTGGCGCTGAGGGCAAAAGATGTAGGAGGATGAGGCGTGAGACATCAAACGACGAAACGATGAGGAGTCGGTGGGGTTTCTTACTTACGATGTTGTGTGGATGTCACATCATGTTACAAACCAAGCTCAGACACAAAGGACCCACTCAAGGTGACAGTCTCCGAATGACAAACACAAGATTCCTCTTGCTCGCGTTTTGACAGGATGACGTGACTGTGTGCTTCATTCTATGAAAATGAACAACAAGGCAAAGGAGAACTACAGAACAGCTTGGAGTTTGTGGGCAATCACCATCGGAAGAAGGAAGGTGTCACAGAAAGCGGAAAGGGATTGGAAGTGTAAGTGACAGACGTCTAAGCACAGTCGTAGTGAGCCGGTGGAACGGCAACAAGATCCACAGCAACCATTGACAAGGAAGACGTGGGCAAGACCCTCCAGATGTTGGAGACAACCTTCTTGGCCCGTGAACAAGCAGATCTATCACCAGCGACTCCCGTGCGCTTCAGCAATCCTTTGTAGATGAACAGACACACCATTGTGCTGGGGATCAAGCAGATTCGTGGCAACTAACTCAGTCAACGGCAGCCACACCCTCTCCTTTGTTCTTTCGTGAGGTTCGCTCGCGTTCAAGTGTGTGTCTCCGATGTTGTCGTGGCAACTTGCAAACGCGCAATCGTCTTCGAAGTGCACGTCCGACACAACGACATATGAAGGGGAGCCGAAACACTGACGGATTTGGCGGCAAGTTCCATCCCAGGTTGCGCTCAAATCCTCGGAGACAAGAGGTAACATCATGGAAGAGTGATCGCGGAGAACAAGCACTTCAAGCGTTGGACGACCCTCCCGAGCAACGCGTCGATGAAGATGTGTCCGCTTCCATCGAGTCAGAACCAAGAATAGGGACTGTAGGCGTTGATAGGCGCCAGCCCATTTCTCTGGAAGAGTCTGGTGAACCAGCATGCGCGGGCAAAAGCAGTTTTGATGAGATTCTCGTGTTGAACATTCAACATGAAGCACAAGCCAACAAGCAGGACGACTCATACGCACCAACGGTGAAGCAGCGCAACAGCCACAGTTATGCCAATGCCTTTCTTCAATTGCACGCAGCATGGCAAGGGAGGACTCCACTTGTGCTCGAGATGGGCGCAGGTCATTGTTGGCGTTGGCTGCCTGGGCCACCAAGCCAGAAAACGCAGGGCTTTGCTCCTGCAAGGCATGCTTCGCCGACCTCTCAAAATACCACAGTTCCCGATCTTCACGCATACTGCGCTCTTCAAGGATGGCATCCAGCTCTCCGGCAATCTCATTGTACCTCCGATCAATGTCAACTTCGTGGTAGCCATTGCACAAGACCATCCCCCCGCGTTCCGTGTGCGGTTCAGGATTGCGTTGCGGGACAAGTGTGTTGTTGTCGCGATAGCCATTGCACAAGACCATCCCCCCGCGTTCCGTGTGCGGTTCAGGATTGCGTTGCGGGACAAGTGTGTTGTTGTCGCGATAGCCATTGCACAAGACCATCCCCCCGCGTTCCGTGTGCGGTTCAGGATTGCGTTGCGGGACAAGTGTGTTGTTGTCGTTAGGTTCGACTGGCTTGTCCTCTCTCCAACAGCAGTTGCAGCTCTTGCACGTCACACATGCCTTTGCAAGGAACTTGAGTGCAACGGAGACGATTGCAAGTGGCGCAAAGTATGTTCGAATTGGTTTTTTGTACTCACGAAGGAGTCCTAGAGCAAGGGTAAAACAGGGGACATCGTAATGAGTGCGCAACTCCTCAAATCAAGGAAGGCCCAAACGGCCGAGCAAATGCAATGATTTTACCGTATCTCTGATGAGCCCAGTAGGCGTGCGCTTGAACATGGACTCGACTGTATGTGTTGTTGAACATGGCTGTTGACATGACATCAGCGTGAGTTTGGACGTCAGAAAAGTGCACAACTTAAACTGTGAACACGCCGGATGCAGCTGCGGATGTGTCAGGAACATACCCCGAGATCAATCTTACCGATGAGCATGTTCACAAGCAGAATGGTCGTGCCAAGAACGAAGAGGGCCAAGAGAAACGGCAGCATTTGGACTTCCTGTGTGTGTGTGTGTGTGTGTGTGTGTGTGTGTGTGTGTGTGTGTGTGTGTGTGTGTGTGTATTTCAAAGTGCCCAAGCACGGACATGAGAGATCCCCTTCCTCTTGTCAGAGAAGTGGGGGACTAAGAAACGCGCAATAAGTTGCACCTGCGTGGGGCAGCTCTCAAACAGCTGCGGTCCTTGGCAGCTGGCTTCGTCACTGAGATGTTCCAGGATTTGGTCGCCGTAAATTTGAAAGTACGGACGGAACAAGACGTCAATGACCTTCTGCGTCCTGTAACTTGTAAGCGGATAGAGCACCGCCTGAAAGGCGACACCAAAACCTAGCGAATTCGAGGGCGAGAATGATGTGTTTGAGAGGGTGCAGATCCAACTCACACGGCGTGAATGAGCAGAAGAAGGATAAGGCGAGCTTACCAACAAGAACGCTGACGAGGAGGGCAAGATAGATGAGGATGTCGTCTCTCATGTGCAACAGCACCGCAATCTTGGGCCCAAGGCGTGGGCACACTTTCAAGAAGCCAAGTGTGCGCAGCCACAACATAATTCCGACGAATGCGTGGATGGCTTTGGTGGCTCTCTGGGAGAATACACACAATAAACACCGTCCGGTGAGTTGATGACGAAAACATCAAGCATGTCGCTGGAACGTGTGCAGAACATGAAAACCACAAACCACACACACCTTCGTCCCTGAATCATGGAAGTCACTGAGCCGCGTGACAAGTCCTGCAATGTACAGGGAAAAGAAGATCATTTCCACTGCATGTGGACCCCAGCAGGACTGTCGGGTCCAAAAGTATCCCCACTCTTTCCGCAGCTGCATTGTTATGAATGTTGGCACGAGTTGGCGGGAAAGAAAGATGAGCGTGTGATCAGACAATGAGGGCAGGCATCATTGAATGCTGGGTAACGTACATGGTACTGAAGTTGGTGGATCTCCTCGACGATTAAGTTTGCAAACCACACCATCAATGCAATTTCAACGCGGGACAGGTGGTCTGGCAGCTCATCCAAGAGGTAGAAGGAAAACAGGCAGCACAAGACCAAGTGCGCAAACAGCTCCATCCACAGCCTGTCACGAGCAGGGGAGAGTGCATTCAGCGTGAACACAAATGCAGAGCAAGTGCTTTGCAAGAAGCTTGCTTGCTCGTGAGGGTCGAGCCTTGATATGATAAGTACCTCACAAAAGGGGCGGTCCAGAACACGCCAAGCTTGTGACAGAGGCCTGTGTTTCTGTTGCTGCTCTTGTCGTCGTCGTTGTTGTTTGCTTGCACATGAAGCTTCCGAGACTGAGAAGGCTCTAAGAGTATGACTGGGAGAGACAAAAAGGCGACACAAAGTGCAATCTGCAAGAGAATGTCGCATCGGCATACATAAATGTGGGCACACAGCGACACGTGTAAATTCACATGTGTCAGAGCAAGGCATGTACAACAGATGGACCGCATAGACGGAGAGGCTGTGCCATACCTTCGGCACTGAGTTGTCATTCGACATGTCGCCATACCACTGCTCTGTCACAAAGCGCTGACAAGGGTCTTTGGCAAGAAACTTGTTGGAGTCAGTCTTGTATGCCATCTGAGGACAGAGTCGCAAAGGTCAAGATGATGTTGTAAGCAGACTGTAACAATCATACAGCAATCTAGGAGCTGGAACTGCTTTGTGAAATGAAGAACCGGATCAGTTTGATTACCTCCAACACGTTGTTGCTCTCCCACTCCTTCTCGAGTAGCTTTCGCGTTTTGGTAACATCCTGCTTCTTGCATTCTTTGAGCAACTCGATGGCCTTCGCTTCCAGCTCCCTGCAATGTATGAAATGGCATTTTCAAGTCAAACTGTGGCAATCACATCACGCGAATTTTGTCTCACGTATTTGCACTTTCAGTGTACGTACTTTGCCCATGCCCTGACGCGCTGTTTTCCCTCGTGTTGATCGATGTCATCTGCTCGTTCTTGCAGTACTGCTTGGGCTTTCATTGCGCATGAAAGGGCTTGATCGCAGTGAATCCATAGAACCATTGCTGCCTCCATCTGATCGCGCTTGACGGCACGCAACTTGAGCAAGCCCAAGAAACATCGAGAACGAAGTCAGCCAGTTGAGAATCGTGCAGTGTCCACAGATGACAGAACAAGAGAGACTTACGAATTCTTGGTGGGGGGACTGCTTCTCGTGAAACACCGTTTGGCGGTTTTTCTGAGTGACAATGAAGCACACGCAAGTCGTGTTAAAAATGCAGGAACAAATGGGGGAGGGAAGATTCCACACCTTTCTTTGTCACAATCAACAACTCACGGCCCTTCCCCTCCCTTGTGAGCGGAGCAATACCAGGTGAAAAAGAACGCCTCGATCGATGCAGAGTTGAACGTAGGCGGCGGAATTCAGGCGGATGGCTCGATGCATCACGAATCGAAAGGCGGGGCTGCTCCTCCTGATCTGCACGCACATGCAGGTGTTTCGATTGTCATGAGATTGGTGAAGGAGAATGGCTCTGGCGCACTATCGGCTTTCAAGCGGCACACTTACTGTACAACACTTTCACTGACCTGCTCAACGGCAAGTGATGTTGTCTTCGGCAGCTTGGAGATCTTCAGCTGCATCGCTGATAACATAAGTCATGGTGCATCATGAGCTGTCGAGTTCACAAGTTGACAAGTTCACGAGTTCAACTGGAGACAAACATTCATGTAAGCAACATATAACCGCGACTCACCAAGGGTCAGCAGATTGTCATAGTTGGAGCTGGTCTGGCTGGGGTTCTGACAAATCGCCTACAACAAGTCGGTGCCATGAGAGTAGCTTGTTGTGTTCTGGTTGTACAACTGGGAGCGTACACATATTCATGACCTCGACGCACAGTCGAGGGTATGCACATCGAAAGCGGTAGGTTTGCAATGTATATTTACCTGATACACGCAGTTCACAAGATTCCAGGATGCTTGGTTGTCCAGTTTGTACACAATCATCTGCACATCACCAGAAGTGAGAAGGTACTCCACACACTGCATGTGAAGTGGCATCTGCACGGAAGCAGCAAGGCGGGAACTGTGGAGTGCGCAAACTCACCCCCTTTTTGTCGCTTGCGCAGCGAATGACGTCTCTCTTGATACTGCGTATTTCAGCATCGTTGGCATTTTCACATTCAGGCATGTGTCGAATTAGCGCTTCGAGTCCTTGTACCGTGTGATCGCGGTGGCGCCACCTGCAGTGGTGAACAACGGGGAGAAGGAAAATGAATGTATGCACCATTGTTTGTATGTGTGGATGTATGTGTGTATGTATGTATGTATGTATGTGCGTGTTTGTATCTCATCAGGCAGTGCAAACAAGCACTGTACAACACAGCACGCTTACTGTGAGCTGTGCAGCAAGTGATATGCGTATCCAAGGACTTTGGCCATGCCACCAGAGTCTTTCACCACGACAACTGGCACACCTGCCACATCTGATCGCATGGGTGGGCCAGGAATGGTGAGCGAAGTCAGCAGGGTCAGAACCAGCGCGACACGGGACAAAATCTTACTCGCTGCAAGGGCATCGTTGAGGGCGGCTTTGTCTCCTCGAATGACGACAGCCACACTGTGGCATTTCAGGTGTTTTGCGGCTTCCTGTGGCAGTCAAGAATGTGCAACATGAAGACAACAGTGCGTCAGCACTATGTTGAGATACCGGGCACCTCGTATCTCCTCAGTGTCATCATACCTGCACGAATGACGACCGAAATGAATGGTTGTAGCATGTCTTAATGTGCGCATCTGCCTCGTCTCTGTCGTCGTTTTCGCGAGCAGGGCCTGAAACGGTGTAAGGCGGGGCGTTCTCCCGGTGTTCTGTTTGAGCGAACAGCGCCAACACCAGTCATTACAGAGGCCTTCAACATGTGCGTGCAAGCAACCCAACTGCGTTCAAGGCACGACAAACGCCAGCCGAAACATTACCGATGCTCAGAATAAAGGGTCTCGCTGGAGTCTTGGACAGGCCAATATCTTTCAGTGCCCGGGACATGCACTGCACAATGCCTGTAAGTGCGCGCAAAACAAGGATTGACGTAAGACACCGCTGCTTTTTCTTCCAACCAGACACACTGAGGGTATGCAAGAACAATCCGGACCTTGGCGAGAACCGTCAGTTACAACCCATGCGTTTGTGTGTGAGGCGATTGCTTGCAGGCTGTCGCGAACTTCTGAATGCAAGGGTTCCAATTGCAGAAACGCGTCCGTGCTGCCGATGACATGCAGCACCAAGCTCGGTGAGCTCAACCGTGCAACCCCGTGCCAATATTCAGGCATCCAATTGAGATGGTGGTGTGTTGACCTGAAAGGATCTCGCTGCAGACTCATGCACAGATCTTTTAGTTTTGCCACGCATGGTGCAGCGTTTGCTTCTGTTGAGCTGTCGAGCAACATGTTGAATAGCTCTTGCAATGGCTTGATCAGGTTGTCCTCGAGCTTATTGGCCATTTCGGCAGAAAACCCTTGGGGCCAAGCTTCGAGCAACTGGCGAGCTGATCGTTCGAAAGCTCCAGCACACGATTTCATGAACAAGAACCAATCATAAAGTGCTGGTAACATGACTGCCAATCGCATTAGCGTGTGATCGATGTTGGGGCAGCTCTGCACAAGCTCGTGCAACTTTGTGTGGAATGTGGGGGCATCGTCATCTTGTTCAGCAAGGAGGAAGGTCAAGTGATGATGTAGGTCTTCGAGATGCGAGGGTTCGCCAATGTTCTCAGCTGGACGTTGTCCCACAATGTCTTCTTCGTTCCTATGCTTAATGGCGTCAATGACTGTTTGATCGAGCGCGTTGAGAAGTTCTTGTGAGGTTGGTGGAGGATCGTGTTCATGTCCTTCGCGTTGGTCTTGTGCCTGTTGTGGTTTTGTGAGGAAGCGGCGCACAGTATCAACAATGTCTTGAATGGCTTGCTCCAGGTTTTGCAGCACATCCCTTGCTTCTTCAACTTGCGCATCATTTTGTTCGTTCGTCAAGCGACGGTTGATGCCAGCAAGGGATTGCTTCAGCCGAGACAGATCCTTGCTGATGTACGCAACAGTTTTGTTCACGAGGGATTTGGCAATCGGGTTGTGCTGGACTGAGTAGCCTCGGCTGTCAAACCGCTTCTTGGTGTCTGGAAAGCAATCTGCCTCTACAGCGTTTTGCTCAAACCCTAGCGGGGCAGCCTCTTCATTGAGAAACGCTGGCATGCTATCTTGTTTGCTCTCGGCAGGAACGCAAGCAAAATGAAAACTACAGAGCTTCACGTCGACGCTGTTTGAGCTGCGCCACTGACACTCTTACACTGACACTCTGTACACTGCCACGTGGCAGCTTCGTCACCCCCAGCTTGTTGTCCTGTCAAATATAACAGTTCTTTCCCGAACAGGGAACATGCCGCGCCCTTCTCGCCACAAGTTGACTTTCCGTGAACCCTCAGGACCCACTGACGCACCCGCGTCGCCTCTCCGTCACCCCAAAGCTTGCTTGTTGTCCTGTCAAATCTAACAGTTCTTTCCCGAACAGCAGGAAAACAGGAAACTCTCTTCAGCCTGAAAAAAAAAAAAAAGGGCAAAAAAGATTTACTCCTCTTCATGGTGTTCCTGCCGTGACTTGCCTTCCCACACAACCTCCCACTGGCATTCTCGTATGTCTGCGCCCGTACGCCTGCATTCTCGTATGTATGCACTTGCGCACATGTACGTGTCTGTGCTCTCGTGTGTCATGACGACCGTGCATCTGCTTTCGCAGGCACACCTGTTCGCATCTGTTTGTTTGACCACTGTTGTATATTGGCTCAACATTCCAAGGTGGACAGTAAACGCTTCACTCAGCAAACAGACACCAAAGTGAAACGGCACCGCAAAGGCGATACAGTAACAACGCGTGCACACTACTCCAATGCACGAACAAACACACAGGATCCAATCCATCTAAACCCCATTTACAGCTCCCCTCAGTCATCCCTCTTCTTGGGCTGTTTCGACGCCGTGACGAGTTCATCCGACCGACGCTTCCTCAGTCTCTCACGTCGGTGAGAATCCTCATCCGCAAACACTTCATTGCTGTCCTTCTCGCTTTCATCATCATCATCATCATCATCATCATCATCATCATCATCATCATCATCATCATCATCATCATCATCATCATCATCATCATCATCATCATCATCATCATCATCATCATCATCATCATCATCATCATCATAGTCATCATCATCATCATCATCCCAATCAATTCCTTCCCCTCCTTCCCCGTCACCTTCTCCGTTCCCCTCCTCGTTCCCCTCGTCTCCTTCCCCCTCATCCTCACCTTCCCCATCCCCCCACTCCCCCTCCTCTCCCTCTTCATCTCCCTCTTGCACCCCAATCAGGAATTGCATGCCGGGGAATGTGACAAAGCAGCGAATGCTGGCCTGCAGCGCATCTCCGTCGCAGCAGAACGGGTAGCACACCGCTGCTTCCTGGCACCCACTACCATCCGACGTTCGAATGTCCGAACTGTCGTTGAACACCGTCGCAATACGCACGGCACCCCTTCTTCCTTTGGGCTCGGCTGCCTTGCTTGGAAGGTTTCTGAAGCGCCGAGGGAAGAGGTTGATGTTCCACGAACTTATAGGCGTCAGCTCGTCTCGCCCGTGCCCTTCCTCGGGTACAATTCTGTCCAGCACGCTCTGCACCTGCTGAAGCGTGGGGAACGTGTTCAGAAACACGTGCGAGAAGATCCTGCGGTCATTGTCCTTTAGCTTGTAACGGCTGTGCATCAAGTCGTTGGGTGGGCGAGCAACGTGGAGAATGCGAAAGTCCCGCAGTGTCACCAACTGGCGCCACACGTCGCCCAGCTCCTCAATGCAATCCAGCTCAAAGAATTGGCGGATCTCGCCTTCCTTTTCGTTGATCTCGCCTTCCTTTTCGTTGATCTTGCCTTTCCCTTTGTTGATGAGCAGGAACACGCGCGGCGGCCTCCGGCCCTCGCGACCAAGGTCAATTTGGCCGGAATACGCAAAGTACTCGCAGCACACCCTGAAAAAGCGGTCCTGGGGCCACTCGCCAACCATCCTGTTGGGCCAGAGACCAGGGAGCGCGTGCTGAAACGATCTGCGGATCACCCGGTTTCGAGGCTGGCGGCCGGCGTGGGAACGAAAGGCGGCCATGGCGTGCCTGAGCTGCCTCCAGTTTTGATTGTTGAAAGCCTTCACCGCGGCCTGACTCTTCTTGTAGAACACCCTCATGTCCTCCTTGAGCACCTGCTGTACCTGCTGCCGGTCCAAGAGGCCGGCAAACAGCTGTTGCTTGTGCTTTTCGGCAAACTGAAACACGGTTCGCAAGGCAAGCCTTGCCTGGGCCTGCTCCCCGCCCACGATGTCCATGAACGCAAACGCGCGGGCAGCCCACGCGGAGAGGGCAAGCTGAAATCGCACCGCTGTCTCGTGCACGCGTTCCTTAACGCGGTGCACGCGTTCCTTGACGGCGCGGTGCTTTGGAATCACGAAATCGTATGCCTTTGACTTGGCCACCCGCCAGAACGCGTCCGTTTGATCTGCTGCTGCGTTGCAGTACTCAGCCGCGAGAGAAAAGTGGTCGTAGTGGCCTTGCCGGCACCGGTCGATGGGCCAAATGCCGTCGTTATCCGTGGCCAGCACAGCCAGGAAGCCGCGTGACACAAACCACCAGAACGTCGACGCTTCCTGGCGTTCCACAAGGTAATCGTTGCTTGTCGGGTTGACCTCGAAAACGACGTGGTTCTTGAGCCACGCCTCGTTGTCATGGACGTACTGGATCAGCAGCCACGACTTGCGGTGCTTTGCCACCTTCTCCGCATCCTTTGTCAGGCAGAAGATTCTGCGGAACTGCACGCCGTGCCCGACCCGGATGAAGTTCAAATGCGTGTCGTCGTCGCGCGTGATGCTTTTGAGCGTGTGCAGCACGACCTTGAGCCCCCGAAGAACGATAAACACGTGTGCCGCCACGCAGCGAAACGCGTTGGTCTTGGCTTCGCAGACCGGCACGTTTTCCGCGCCGTGGATGCGCACACCAAACTGGGGGTTGAGCCGGCGACACGTGCGCATGAGGCGCGCAAACGCCGGGACAACCAGTGGGCAGAACGGCTGGGTCAGCTCGTCTGACATCACGTCAATGCCCACCACGAGTGACCTGAACAGCCGAGGAAAGGCCTTTGCAGCCTTTCGAAGCTTGACAAGCTGTTCTTCCTGGCCCCTGAACATGTCCCTGTCCCGGTCTTCGGCCCGAGCAATTTGTCGCTCGAACTCGGCGACTGCCTGCATGGGGTTGTCCCACATCCACTCCTTGTACTTGTCGTTCACGTTCCTGGCAATGCCTGCGAGCAGGTAGAACGTGGGGAACCGATCCCTGTCATCGAGCAAGTAGTGGTATCTGAAGTTGGGCGTCGGCGGCTTGTCGCTCGTCTGCGACTGATGTCGCTCAGGTGAGCCGAGCTCGTCATCGTCGTCGCTCGCCTCCATGCTCAGACTCGCGTGGGTACTGGCCTGAAACGAATCCTGATACAGCACTTCCTGCAACACCTCTGCTGCTTCTGCTTCCTCCACTTCCGAGTCGACATCAGCGATGGGATCAGCGGCCGATTGCTGGCTGGCCGCGTGCGGCATGTCTCTGGCGTCCTCGCTGCTTGTTGTGGGCCGGCGCCTTTTCTTGTCGTCCCGCCACACCAATTCAGTGAAGAAGAACGACGTGTCCCGTGCAAAGGGATGGAACGCAGCCAAAACGTCCAGGATGTGTGGCCGCGCGCAGTCGCCGGCACCGAGGGAAAACTCCACATAGGACGTGCGCGGAAACGTGGCACTGTAGCGCTTGAGGCTGTGCCGCAGCAAGATTGCGAGCACGTCCAACCGTTGCTCGTACAGCGAGTCCTTGAGAACGTAGCGCCGCGGGTAGAACTCGGGCGTGAAGGAGTTGTGGAACGTGTGCATGTCCACCACCCTGGGTTTGGTGCCGTCAGGGTTCAGCATGGAGAAGGCGTTCTTCATGTGGGCATCGAACACCGTGCGGTCCGTCTTCGTCAGCCCGTTTCTGTGGTCAATGAGCTTGTTCCGAGGCACGCCACAGCAGATCTCCAGGCACTGCCTGCGCGCGTTCCAGATGATGCATTCTTTGAAGTATTCGCGCTTGAGCATCAGCCGCTCCCTCATCCTGCTGAACGCAAGCGGGTCTGCTAATGTCAGGCCGAGCGCTTCGATCAGGTGGTCCTGGCGAATGACAATGTCTGCTTGGAAATGCTCGGGGGGCAGCAGGAACATGGTCGCTGGTGGCACTTCCGCATCCGCAGCGCCAGCTGTTGCGGCAGGCTGCGGCGGAACTGCTGCGTCCTCCGCGGTGGCCATTGCGTCCGCTGTAGTGTGCGACGTGTCTGCGGGGCTTGTTGTTTGGACGCCTGTCTCTGTCGCCCGGCGCGATGCGGGAAAGTATTCGTGAACTTTGGCGTTCCACTGCTCGTGGTCCAGCTCCATACTCACCCCGCCGATGCGGCACTTGACCTTGCCATTCTCAGGGTTCAGGGCCCACTCTGGCACGCAGCGATTCCCCAGGGCTTCTTCGAGATCTTCGTAGACCTGTGTGGAAACACACAGGTTGGAGGGGGATGGTGGAAGGAAAAGGGGAGGACGTGTGAGTTTGTGCTTTGCTGGCATAGCTGACGTGTAGTTGTGGTGTCATCGCGGTGGTGCTTGTAGTCGACCAAGCGTAGTAGTAGATGTGTATTTGAGTGTTGATTTGATACAGCAATCGTAAATGAACACAGACAGTAGGCAAGTGCAAGTGTGGTTGGTGCTGGATGTGTGTGTGTGTGTGTGTGTGTGTGTGTGAAGTAGTGGTGTTTTGGAAGTAGGGAGAGAAGGGGTGGAACCACTATGTGCTAGTGCTGGCTTTCTTTCAGTGTTGCTGGCGTGGGCGAGGTGTAGTTGTGGTGTCGTTGTTGTGTTGAGGTGACTCACTCTTTCTGGGAAAAGAAACTCCCCGGCAAGCGGTGGCACTGCATCGGGCGATCTGTCGTCGGGTGGGGGATTGGTCTTCCACACCAGAATATGACTCCAAGACTGATCCAGCGCGGACCCTGTTGGATGGAGCAGGTCATGGGTTTCTGTTAGAGGATGGTGACGAAGAACAAAAAAGCAGAGGCGATCAGCGATGATACGCACGGGAGAACAAGAGCCTCATCCAAAACTCGCTGTCGCCATTGCCCAGCAAGTGGGTGTGAAGATCGACAAGCTTCACGTCTTCCCAGGATTGCGGCTTGACCATGGCTTGTCTGCTTGTGTGTTGTGTGTGTTGTGTGTGTGTGTGTGTGTTGTGTGTGTGTCTTGTGTGTTGTGTGTGTGTCTGTGTGTGTTGTGTGTGTGTGTGTGTTGTGTGTGTGTGTGTCTGTGTGTGAGCGTGTGGTTGTGGAAATGTGCGCGTCGTTGTGTGCGTGTGTGTGTCGTGCAGGCGTGTGTCTTTGCGTCTGGTTTGAGTGTGTCTTTGTGTTTGAGTGTGTCTTGTGTCTGTGCTTGCGTGTGTGTTTGCGTGTGTCTTTGCGGGTGTCGACAAGACACAACATGAGCGACACAAAGAAGAAATGCTTTGCCAGAAGATGCCTGGCGGCGAGCAAGAAAACTCAATCAATGCACTGCTGGCACGTGGAAGTGCAGCCCTGCGTCCGAAGTTTGTCTTGGTGCTGAAGTTTTTTTTTTTTCTGCAGCAAGGAAAGGCTTTCCGTTTCCAAAGAGCTTTCATTGCCTTTTCGGCGTTTTGGGAAAGGGTCACAACAAAAGGAAACACGTGTTTCACAGAAAAAAAAAACATGAAGCACAACAAAGGAAATTCAAAAAAAAAAAAACCACCAGGACAGCAAATTCGTGCTGACGGGAACTGTGAAGTGAAGTCTGTGCACATGCACGCAAATCCACAGACAGACACACAGGCACGCAAATCCACAGACAGACACACAGACACACAGACGCACACACAGACACACAGACACACACGCACACACACGCTAACCCACAGACACACATCTACACGCATCTACACCTTCCCCCCTTCCGTCACCGTCGTTTACAGAACTCGTTGCCGTTGGCGAATCTGCACAGCGATGATGTGGTTCGGTCCGAGGGTCGCTTCAACGCACTCCAACAGAGGCTGCAACGTGTTGGCAGACGCACTGCTCAGGTAACACGCCTCGTTTGCATTGCAGTTTGGCGGTGCACGCGTCTCCAAGCTGTTCACAAAGGCTGCAGCGGGGGTATGCGGGCGGATGTGGTTCATGCCGCACTGCGCAGCAAGCACGTGGCGTTCATCGGCAGACAGCTGCCACAGGTGGTTGAGGATGGAGGCGTACAGGTCGCGTGCCTTCCCCTCACGTCCATCCGGTGTGAGCAGATCAGCCTGCGTCGAAGTCCGCAGGCGAAGTTCAAGTGTCACAGCGTCGTGGACCACGCCCACCTGCTGCTGCATGTGATGGTCAAAAGGGGCTGCCGCGGGAGTGTGGCGCATCACGCGTGAGAGGGCGTTGAGCAGCGTGCTCGCAACCGTGCGCACGCTCATCGCTACTGGCAGCGGCAGGCCGAGCACAGTGAAATAATTGGCAATCTCCAGCATGGTTGGCTTGTGCGGTGTATCTGGTAGCTCCTGCACCAGTGCCTCCAGCTGCACCAGGTCCGGCGTTGGCCGCCTGAGCGTCACTGGGGCAATTCGCCGGATCATCAGCTTGTCTCGGGCGCCATCCATATCGCCTGATGCTGCCCTGAACATGACGACGATGGCTGTCCAGTCCAGCAGCAGCCCACACGCAACGTTGCGTGTGCATTGCCGCTTCACCTGCTGAAAGGCGCGAGCAGACAACACTGGGCTGGCAACGGTGCTGTGGGCGATGTTCACGAGTCGAGCGCGGCACATATCGTGACCCACAATGACCTCCCAGGGGTCAGCAACCACTGACACATTTTGGATCTGCAGGCGGTCAGCAAAAGACGCAGCAACCACTGCGTCCGTCTCGGCACTACCGACAAACGTCACCACAACAACAAACACTTCGTGAGCGGTACATTCACGAGCGCAAGAAACAGGATAGATGCACATCAAGAAAAAGGACTGTCACTCGCTATCGCATGTGCTTCCAACACACACAAGCACCACACGCACCATAAGTACGCAAGAACACACGCACACACACACACACACACACACACACACAGGCACACACACACACACACACACACACACACGGATACACACACACACACACACACACACACACACACACACGACACACACACACACACACACACACACGGATACACACACACACACAGGCACACACGGATACGCAAACGCACCTGTAGCTGAGGAAGACGTCGTGGCAGTCCTGCACCTCGTCGATTGGAAGCAGATGACGATACCTCCTGCTCAGCTCTTGTGGCGCCAGTGTGACTGTTGGCCCAATCCGAATTGGTCGTCGATGCTTGTGGTGATGGCGCACATCGCCAGTGAACAGCAGCGTGGTCTCGTCGTTTGGCACCAGCACATGCATGTTCAGGTCGCGGTAGCGTGCAGACACGGCACGGTGAATGCCGGCAGGAAGAGCCTGCAACAATGTCCGAGGCTGAGCGTGGTGATGGGAGACCTTGAGCCTGATGCCACCAACAGCAGGGACAAGTTGCAGCTCAATCTCAGCCACGTCGGTGTCGATGATGGCACGGGTGCGGCTCAGCCACGGATGGTCTCGTGCTCCGTGCTGCGCGTGTTCCATGACGCTTGCCAGAATTAGTGGAAACAGGCCCTCTGGCATAAAGGCGGCAGCCTTGACGTCTCCAACGGTCACGCTCGCCCGTCGCCGAAAAAATTCAAAGCTGAATACAATGTAAACAGCCTCCGACTCGTATCCAGGGTAAGGATACAGCTGTGCGGCTGCTGTCGTGCTCAGCGTCAGCGAAGTCACCCCTTCCTGAGCAGGACCCAGCGTCATGGGCAGAATGGCTGGAACCACGTACTGCCGCAGGCGCTGTTGATGCTGCTGCTGTTGGGCGGCGCGGTTCTCACGGGAAACAGCAGCATCAAAGGCATGGCCAGCACCAGCATCAGCATCAGCGTCAGCAGGTGGTGTGTACTCGACGCACAGCCCATACTCCAGCATGAGGTTGAGGAATGGGTCAGCGAGGCCGGGCGCTTGGTCGTGCATGTCACTCCACAGCACGTCCAGCACAGAGCGGTGCAGGATGCCGCGCTGCACCAGGTCGTCCCAGACGCCGCCGAGGGCTTGCGCCTTTGGGTCACGCTGTGGGTCAGGGTGCACGCTGAAATTGCGGATCACGCGCGTCATCTTGTCCACCGCCCACTGCGGACTCAGGATCACGTAGTCCTGCATCCCTGGCACGTGGTCATAGAAGAACAGCATGGAGTACAGGTGGAGGAACCGCAAGCAAGCCGTGGTCTCCTCGCGTGTGCGCAGCCCACATGTGCGGGCAACCGCATCAACTTCCTGCATTGTGAACAGCGAGCGGTCCTGGCGGTCCCTGGAGAGGGTATTGAGCTGGTCGTACAGGTTCAGGTATGAGACGGGCATGTGCTGCGTGACGTAGGGTTGTTCAAGGGCTGTGGCAGAGATGGCCTTGCGCAGGTCCTGTATCATGGGGTCCTCTGCCGATCGCGTGTTGTCGACAGGCCAGAACCACAGCCTGTGCGGGTCATTGTAAACGACAGACTGAAAGGCTGGGTTGCTGCTCAAGCGGGCACGGATGCGTTCAGAAACGTGTTCAGAAACGCGCTTGGAAACGTGTTCACCTTCTTCTTGGTCGGGGAAATCGTCCGCGTGAGTGCCAACGATGAAGATTGGGGCACCGTTGGCGTGGAGGTGCAGGGAGGAGAGCCAGTACGCCAGGAAATCCCACGTCTCCGTCTTCTCGTGTTGCGTTCCTCGTAGCAGCTTGCGCATGGAAAACACCACCAAGTACACAGCGTATCTGTTGCGGGTGCAATGGCATGTGACGAGAGGAGATTGGGAGCTGGTGAGAACATGAAAAGTGGCGAAGTGAGGGCAAGAGGCAGCACAGACATGGAGGCGCAATGAAACGCAGATAGGCAACCAGGAAGGAAAGAGGGAAAAAAGGAAAGAAGGAAGGAAAGAAGGAAGGAAGGAAGGCCGGAAGGAAGGAAGGCAGGAAGGAAGGATCGCCGACAGGGGAAGGCAGACACACACACACACACACACACACACACACACACACACACACACACACACACACACACACACACACACACACACACACAGCACCTTACACAACCACCCCCCACCCCACACACACACACACAACCCCCTCCTCTCCCACTCACTTTGTCAGGAAAAAGGGGTGGAAGATGTAGAAAGTGGATTGGCCCCCCAGGTCAAAGACTTTGAACGTCACTTGTGTCTGCCAGCCATCACCCAGTGTTGCAGCAAGTGCGACGTCTCGAATGGCCTGTTGTAAGTCTGCGGAGAGCGTGGGGGGACTTGGAGGAGGTTCGCGTCGCTGGTCGCCCTGCTGCTGTTGCTCTCGGGGTTCAGACTGCTGAGGTTGCTGAGATCTTGCTGTGCTTGATGGGTGAGCAGTTGCCTGTCTCGGCGCCTGAGAGTGGGGAGTGAGGTGATTGGGATCACGTGCGTGTGACGCCGTCGCAAGCAAGCATCGCGACAACTCGGAACGAGAATCCTGCTCGACCTATACATCGGCAGACAGTGAGTGGGTGAGTAAAGGAGGGGGGGTGTGAGATTGCGGGGTTGGGAAACCGTGGGTTATGCGGAATGCGCGCATGCACTTTTGTATGTGTGTGTGTGTGAACTTCCTAACTTCAACTCGAGTGTTTGTGCTTGGACTTGTCTGGTGTGCCTGTGTGTACGTCTCTGTAGCACAAGCACAAGGCACGGGTGACATTATCACCCCTTGATTCTCCTACGTCCGCAACCCACTACTGCCACACCACCGAGACAGCTCACCTTCCATGGTGTGGAGGTCGTGGAGTCGGCCGTGATTTCCTTTGATTCTGTGCCTTGCGTTGACGGCAGCTCATCCAAAAAGCTTTCACCGAGCAAGGACCGAAGCGTTGAGGTCTTGCCAGCAGCACCCTCACCCACGAGCATGAGCTTGGCACGTGCGGCCATCTGCGTCTCTGCGCGGGCAAGCTGTTGCACAAGGGCTTGCAGGGCTTGAAGCTCTTGCGTTGTTGCTTTCTCCTCATTCTCCTCGCTCACAGGATCAGTGAGTGGTTTTGCCACTGGCTGATACACGTGGCTGGCAGCGGCAGAGGCGCGGCGCTTTGGTCTTGGTGTGGTCAAGCGATCGGAGGAGCGCTCATCGTCATCGCCACCATGCGTAGGTTGGCGAGGCGTGCTCTGACAGCCTCCCTGTGGTTCAAATGTATGCGCGACAACTTGAGCAAACGAGCGCCCGCTGGCGCCTGAGGAGCTAGAAGCGGTGGAAGGTCGTTGTTGTCCCCGTTGCTGTCGCTGTTCTTGCTGTCGCTGTTCTTGCTGCTGCTGCTGCTGCTGCGGTTCTTGGTGTTGGTGCTGCTGCTCCTTTTGCTGCTGTTGGCGTTGCTGTGGTTGTTGCTCCTGCGTCTTCGCAGACTGTGCCATTTGTTGTAGTTCAGACGAGGCGACAGAGGTTGCCGGGAACTTCTTCTTCATTGCCTCGAAGCCTGCAACCGCTTGCTGCGGGGACGCGAACGTGAGTTTCAGCGCACCGTTGGGAAACACGGTCAGCACGTAATCCTTCCCTTCGCCCTCGTGTAGACCGTGCGACTTTAAGACCTCCTGGATGGTTGCAAAGCCATCTGAACACCGAATCCACCACACCGATCCGGCCGTGGTGTGGCCGTGTGTGTGGGTTGTTGCCATGCTTGGAGAGTGTGCTTTGAAGAGGAGTGTTCTTCTGTTCTGAGTGGCGTGCTCGATTGACGGTGGCGCCTTGAAACGATGAGCACGTCAGCCTGTCAGCCCTGCAAACGGGACTGCTTGCTCTTGCTTGCTGCGCTGTTTAGCTGTTTGCAACGTCGACGAAACTGTATGCTGGAGCGATCTTGCTGTCTGACTTGTTTGCGAGTGATTCCATGGCCAAATATGACACTTGCCACTCAGCTAGTTTCAGTGTATTGTCAGTAAAAGGACACCAAATTCACAGAAAACGAAATGGACGTACGCAAGCAAAGAAAAAGGTCTGAAGGTACTCGACACACACACACACACACACACACACACACACACACACACACACACACACCAGCGTTCAACGCTTCTTTAAAAAGCACAGCGGTAAGGCATAACAGTGAGACAACGCAAAAGGACAAGCACAACAGAATGACTCAAAAGGGATGAAAACCGTCATCAACGACACAGGACGACAGACGGCACGACAACACGACAAGCCAGCGAAAACGACACAGGTCGCTGGTTGTTCTTTTCGTTCGGTTAGACGAGGAACGGCTGCCGGCCGTTTTCGTCAAAGGTGTCTGCGGGCGCGATTTTGTTGTTGTTCGTCTGGTGCACGCCCACGTCCGTGAGGAGGCGGGTCAGGACGAGCACCACGACGTACAGCACGGCAAAGCCCAGCAGCACCTCCGTGGACTTGCCCAGCGCCTCGGCCGCATCGCCGCAGAGCACATTCAGCACCAACTGGTACCTGATGGCGTGTGTGCGTGTTGTATTGTGTTTGATTGTGAGTGGGTGAGTGAGTGAGTGAGTGAGTGAGTGAGTGAGTGAGTGAGTGAGTGAGTGAGTGAGTGAGTGAGTGAGTGAGTAAGTGAGTGCATACGTGCGTGTGAGCGCACATTTGTTTGTGTGACAGCTCATCCACCACGCACATGGTTCAACGTCCAAGGCAATGTACAAACCAACATTGCCACCCCCTTGCTCCATCCTCGAATTACACATGCTCACCTGCCGTTGAGCTCGGAGCAGCTGACGAGCTGGAGAACGCCTTCATCCGCGTTTCCGTTTGCATCGAGCGAATCTGCGCCAATGGCCGTGTTGAGCTCACCGAGCGTCGAGTTGGCGTCCTATTTGAAGGTGAAACGTGGAGGAAAGGGGAACGAGGACAATGAGTGCTCATTTTGCGCATAGAGGTGTGTGAGTGCGTGTGCGTGTGAGTGCGTGTGTGTGTGTGTGCACGTTTGATGACCTAATCGTGCTCACAACAACACCAATAGTACACTATGCATCATATCACGCAAGTGCACGCTGCACGCACCAAGAGGAGGGTGCTGAGTGTGCTGCACTGCGTGACGTTGAACTGAGTGCACTCGGTGCTGTTGTTAATCTCGTCTCGCAGATCCAAGACCGCCGTCTGTGCAGAGTCGAAACCATCCGTCAGGTCAGCCGTGTCGCTGTTGGGTGTGTGGAAAGGTGATGATGGAAGTGAGTGAAAGTGAGTACCAGAGGAAAGTAACTCAAGCAGAGCACGATCACCACACTTATGCACACCCACACACCCCCACACCCACCCCCACACCCACCCACACACCCACACACCCACACACCCTCCACACACACACACACACTCACGCACACAACGTACTCAGCAAACGGGTTGTCGAGTGAGGTGTCGTCGTCACACTGGATGAAGAAGGTGATGGTGGGGTCGGTGACCTCTGCAAGGCCGATGATGCTGGCGTCGGGGTTGATGCACACGTCGGAGAGACCCGTCATCACGCCAACCAGCGCAGCGGATACGAGCTGTAGCAATAAGGCAGAGCAAACAACAGGGAGTGGCAACAGTGAGAAGTGGGGGAGGATACGTATGGGTGGTGGGATGGTGAGCAAGAACGCGGTGTTTAGCAACGCGCATGGCAGTGAAAGAATGACACAAACAGGCGAAAGAAGCATGTACACACACACACACACACACACACACACACACACACACACACACACACACACACGACGACGACGA